TGGATGGATGGATGGATGGATGAATGAATGAATGAATGAATGAATGAATGAATGAATGAATTGAATTGAATTGAATTGAATTGAATTGAATGCTTTCCCACCTGCCCTTCTCTTTCAAAGAAAACCACAACACCATGCACATTTGTTGATGGAAAATTGAACTAAAACAGGCAGCATCTGGAGCTAAAGCTACAGTTGATGGATTGATTGTATACCATCAAGTCGGTGTCAACTCTTAGCAACCACACAGATAGATTTTCTCCATGACAATCTGTCCCTAACCCTGGTCTTTGAGGTCTTCCAACTGTGCTATATCTGGAAGGCTTTAATCTAGCCACATATAAACACCATTAATACTCCGAAAAATCCTCAGCTCTTCCTTGGCAACATGTTGAATGCCATCCAACCTGATATCCGGCACTGTATCATCCATCGTCTGATATTTTCTATCAATGTGGCTTTCTTGGTAAAAAATATAGGAGTCGTTTACCATGGCCTTCTCCCATGCAGTATGAATTGATGCCTCTGCCATTGTCACTAGAGTGATCATTTGCTTCCAGCATCTTCCTCTATCCCTGCCGCCCAATATCGGTGCCTGCTTGCTTTGGCTGGGCAGCTGGGATGACCTTCACCCTTTGGGTGACCCAACTGGGAATATATACTCTTGGCATACACTCCTGATGTTCTTCGCTGATCCTGCCCCTCAACAGCAGGACTTGGGGGGTGGGAGAGAGCTCCAGAACTCTTGTAGAAAACTAGATATGACTTTTGGAGGCTTTGGAAATCTCACATACTAGAAAGGCTGCAGTATAGATCCCCCCTAAGTGAAAGCAGAGGACATAGAACATAATTTATATTATGTTTAGATATATATTATGTTACATTACATTAGTCTCCTAGGACAGCCACTCAGCCAGTCAACCCAGGTGAGCTGACCAACCAAATGTGATGGAAAAGATGTATCGGTTCAAAAGACCGCTTCACATAATAATTAACACATATCGACTAACATCAACAAAGGTGAATTTTGCTTGCTGGCGATGGCAACTGCCTTTTCTCTTTTCATGTGTTAGTAAGTACCTGGAGGTCTTCCAGTAGCAACAGCGCTTGACTGGTCCACTGATGGTTTTCTCTGAATCACATGCAGCTTATCGCAAGAGATTTTGCAATCAACCAAGAGATCTGCTTTGTACTCAGATAAGTTGCATGTGTTAAATGTATGCCTTGTTCTTTTTCTGGTGGTGGTGCTGATGAAGGCCCAGCTTGGCATAGGTAGCAGCCCAACATTCAAGGACTGTTGTGGAAAGCAGGAAACCAGTTCAAACTATGCACAGATATGTGTAGACATGTGTGCCCTTGCTTCCATTTAAATACATGACTTTAATTGCACTTCTATTTAAATTAAAGTCCTCCTCCAGTAAGTCCTAACTCTTGGTGACTTCATGGGCAAGAACACAGAAGTTGCCCATTGTCGTCTTTTTCCTGATTTCTCAGGGTAACCTACAGCCCTATCATATCTTGATGGCCCTCAATCCAAGTACAAAGCAGGTTTGATTCCGCTGACTGTTTTTTTGAGATCAGGCTTCCCCACAGTGGTGAAAATAGGGACCACGTGACCATCAGCTCCCCTGATGCTGATCTGCAAACTCAGAGCAGCGCTGAGATCATTCTCCCAAAGCAGGATTTAAAGGAAGGGCACCTTCAGATAGAAGACTGCCCTCTGTAAATTAGGGCAGAAGCCTGTCCTACGAATCTTCTCCCTTGTCTGCAAAGCTGACTGGCCACAGGGCCAGGCTGTCCAGGTTAAGTAATGTAATCATGTTTATTCGGTCAATGACCGGCAAAATGTAAAAATATACCACACAACAGTCAAATCAAATGGGTGAGATAAAATAGTAACATAACAAGGAGTCTCTAGAATAAAAGGTTATCAGCTGACTTGAACCAGGTCTTCAAGGCTCTCCAAAATGCCACCAGAGTGGGGTCCATCCAGATCTCAGGGGAAACCGCTGCTATACAGAAGACATACTTTTGGGGTCCCAATAGATGGCATTGTTTAATCGAAGGAACCCAGAGCATGCCAACCCTACAGGATTGAATTGGCCAGGCAGATATTATGGGAGACAGGCGGTCCCTTCAGTAACATCTGACTGTGTTGATTCTGACCCTTGCAAATTTGACCGTTTGCCATAGAGGCTCAGTTCACACAACACATTGAGCAAAGATAGGCAGTCTATAAGTCTTCAGCAGTCCCTAGTCCTGAGAACTTGGAATCTCACCATGTTTATCCAAACCTTAGTGGTCGATCTCCATTTTATACGGCAGTGTGAATTCTTGTTTTTTTACTGCCAAATAAATAAATCAATATAGTCTCTGGTCTCAAAGGAAATCTTCATCTATCTGGGGGACTCTGTCAAGGTTGGTCATGAGGAGGAGGATGAAATGGAGCAGGTACCAGCCACCCCAAGGAAGCTATAAGTCACAAATGAAAAAAGGCTGTGAAGCTACTAATGCTTTCATTTTTCATCTCCAATAAAAGGTGGGCGTTTGCTTTGAGCTGTTCATTGCAAATTTTAATATAACACTTCTTGTGTTAATCTGATATCATTCTCTCTCTCTTTCTCAACCCCCCATTTTTTCAATTACTTTAAAGCTTTCTGCTGGACCTATAAGCAAGAGCTGTAAAGAGCAGGAGTATCTGCGGGGTAGGCGGGTCAAAATATCACCATGTTTGTGACTGCAGTCACAAGTAGGACTGTGGTCATATGAGTGAAGCCCTGTCCTTTTAAAGGGGGGGGCGCCCTCTTGACTTTTTTGACACTCCCCCCCACGTACACCCAGGGAGAGAGGAAAATGGTTGATGGACATAGATTTGCTAGCTTGGGAGAACAGAAGAAGTTGGTGCAGAACTGACCATGCCCCCTTGTCCTCTAGCATGCAGACTGGACTCCAAGCCAAGCCAACTTGACCAAGGTCAACCGTTGGGGTCAGTAAGCACGTTCTGTCCGGGTTCGGTGTGCTTGTTCTGAACTAGAACAAAGGGACAAAGAAAAGCTACTGAGAACAGCAAGAATCTAGCTGCCAGGTAAGCAAAATGAGGGAATAGGGAGAGAGTTGCTGTAGCGCTACAGGCTGCGGGGCAGAGGGGAGTGCGCAAGTGAGGCTGACAGGACTTCAAGTTCAAAAGGCAAAACCATTTACCTTTGTGTTTAAATAATTGGATCGGAGTTGAACAACTTGCAGGCCTTATCCTGGCTCTCATCAGGCCCTGAGGGCACCCAGCTTTCTCCAGCACCAGCCCCATTACACGGTGATTTGGTCAACCTGAAGGCATTTGATAGCCGGCCATTATACCTTCTGGAGGGGTGATAGGCATCTGGGTTGGTCTCAGGTGAGCGAAGATGGAAGCCTGCTTTGCTCCAACCTAAGGCACCCAGGAAAGTCACCTCTCCTGCCTTTGCTTCATACCTTTGTCTATGGAGGCCACTTTCTACTTCTATGGGAACTGCAGTTCTCAGACTCCCCAGCCAACGTGGCCAAACATGTGGTGAACAATGGAACCAAACCCGCATTCAACTCTCTGCAGGTCCCGCTGCACCAAGAGCTGCGAGAATTCAGAGAGCCACCAGACATGGAATCCTTTAACTCTTTACTCCCACCTAGTGGTTAACTGACATTTTGCAACCCTGATATGAAAGCTCTCCCTGCAATGAGACCCAAAATAGCAGGATTGGGCGGGGATGGAATCACCACCAATCTTTCTCCAAAAATCTTGGTGCAACCAGCAAAGATAGAGGCAAGGGACTTTCTTTAGAAAGTGCAGGAGATTCCAAAGAAGTCTATGAAGTCCTACAGCAGGGGGTAGAAAACTAGGTTTCAGTAGCTGTTCCAACCTGGATTTGCAATCCTATGGAAACATGATTTGTGGAAGAGGTCTAGACATGGTGTGAAACTATAGTTGGCTTTAATTGGGTTTGTTTGAAGAAGGTACAGTGGGCTGGATTTACAGCAAAGGCCTCAACCCTGGTTTAAACATTGCAACGTATGAACTGACCTCGAGCAAACCCCACTGGAGTTTAGCGCAGTGCGTTAACTTTGCACTAGTATGAGAAAACCTTTGTAAAACCTACGGGTTGCCTGTGTGTCTTGAAGTGATCCTCCTGCCGAATCCATTTGTTGCAGTGCTGATTATCTTTCCTTGGGGAGGGAGTTGTTTTCTCCTTGTTTCCAAATTAAGCGGCTTCATGCATGGTATGCTTAATAGCCACTTGGCTTTATGCAACCTTTCTAATTTTAAAACACAAATGACGAGGAAGCGGTATTTGTTCTAGAAACATCCTCCTAGTGCAGAATGATATTTAAGCCAATTAGTTCCTCCTTTGATTGCTTGGCCAGGCAGCCCCACCTAGTGTTCATCCAGTGAAACTACAACAAAGCATTCATTCGATTTAGAAACTGTATATACAGTAAAGCTTAGAAATTCGTAGTCCAAACATCTGGCTGCTTTATTTTCAGGTTTTATCTGCCACCACAGCCTATGCTGTCTGATGGAGTTATAATCCAACACATGGGGAGAGCAGGAAGGACCATTCTGCAGATTGGGAGCCAAACCCCAAATCTTGTGGACAGCTCCGCTATGCAAGGTTAAACACTTTTAACATTTCTTTCCCAATGTGCCCCACATCTGCAACAGGAGGAAAGGTGCCACTGACTCCATTGTAAACAGAGATGTGAGACCTCTTAATTATAATTGGGAGATCAAGGGTTAACCCTCCTCCATGCAAGCCATGATATCAATCAGATGGACTCCAACTCACACAGATTTTTAAAAAATCTTGCACACCCGGTTGAAACCACGTAACCCTCATGGTTTGATTGCATCTTAGCAGATCCATGCTGTCTACCCCACCATTCTCAAAGCCGACCTTGTCTGACCCTGGGCCCTTCTGATGTCTTCTCCTCCAAAGAGAAAAATAAGGGGAGGTGGTTTTGGAAGCCTCTGAACCACAGATCCAGACCTCAAAGTAGGGGAAGAAGCAATCTTTACAAGCCAGGGGCCTGAACCTTTGGACTCCGGACCATCCCTGAAGCCATGGGAAAAGTGGTGGACTTCACAAGGCATCAGGTTACATGGAAACGCTCTGTGAAAGGAATGGTGTACTTGGAAGTTGCTGTTGTCCCCAAGTTAGCCTGCAGCCTGAGTTCAGCTAAGGTACGCCAGGTGGACTGGGCTGGGATCCAGGATAAAACACGCTGTTGAAGATCACTCTGTTCCTGGAAACAACAGTTATATTGCTCAAATCCCTGGACTCTTACCGTCTGCCTTAAGCCCTCTGTCTGAACTTCCTGGAGCTCGTCCTGGCTTGTTATTCAGATCCTACTTCTCTTCACATTTTTATACCAACTGAAAATTTTAAACACAAGAATAAGACTAATACAAACTAAAATAGAGCAAAAGAGAAAAAGGGAAAAATGAAAGGAAGGTGCAAAAAGAACAAGAGTAGCAGAAAAATAGGAAAGAAAGAAAATGATATTAAAAAGTGGCTTCTGATCTTCTTTACAGCGGTTATAAGTCCAATTATAAACTGACCTCTCTCTCTCAAGTTACATCATGACTCTCTTCTCTAATCTATCCTAAAACCATAAATCATAGGTTCATTTTTTTTTCTTTTTTACACGAAAAGCCCAAAAGGGCTTTCCAGTCACCAATAAATGTAGATATTGTCTTGTCTTCACATCTTTTGTGACTGTACTTTGCTCCGCTTGGTGTAACAGACTGTTTCCAGATTACGCCTCTTCTTGACCCGTTGGTTGTAAGTGAACTCCATGATAAAGAACTTAGATAGCATGTGGTACTTTGATCTCTCCTCAGCTGAGCTTTTCATTTGGGACAAGACCATTTCCTCTTGCCAATTATACTCACTAAGGGAGTCCGCACAGCATGTTCTGCCCAAAACATGGTTTGCTTGTTTGTGGCTTGGCCTAGGTACAGTCCAGACACAGTTTGTAAACCATTGTTAATGACCTGAAGCCTTTTGAACCAGGTCCTCTAAGGCATCTGATAACAAATTAGAAATCACTCTCCTTCCATAAATCCTAACAAGGCATCTTCCACATGTGCTTTGGACTACAATACCAAGAATTCCCAGCCAACATTGCCAAAAGCTACACTAGAAGAAAATTATTGGAGATGCAGTCCGAATGCGACAGGAAAGCCTGAGAGAAGCTGACTTCAAAGATGGCATGGTGCCAATGCATGGTTGGTTGAACAAGTCATTAATAGCCTGGTTTATCCTACCGCTAAGCCATTAACCAGGATTTACAAACTGCAAAAGTCAGCTTATGCATTGCACTAAGCCAAAACAACCAAACCATATTATGGCTTAAAATATTGTGTGAGATTCTAACTTAGAATTGGAACTTCACTGCTGGGTGTTGAGCTGAGGGCTTCCTTCCAAACCTAATTTAATTGCTGGGGCAAAAGGAATTAAATAACTCAACCCAACAGGTAAACCGAGCTGCCTCAGCTGGAGAGCAAGAAGTAGGTGGGGAGATGTATTTTTTTGCTTCCTCCTTGTTTTATGAAAACAATTTCCCTCAGCAACCAACTCTATTGTTAGTTTAATCACTGAGATATACAAACATATCAAGAAGGCCCTGGGCACTTATTCACCTTTCCAGAGATGAAGACTTATCATTGTTTGGAAGCCACCCAAAATCTCTAGTGGACCTTCTAAAGCCCATAGCTTTCCTAGCTTCCACAAGAAGGTCCCAATTTGGCTTCCTTCCAGCTCCTGATCTATGACCTATCAGGCAGAGGGATCAAATTATCACTTATTAGATCACTGACTCATTGATCATTTTTAAAATCCTACCCTTCCACCTAGACTACAAACCTGGTTCTTCTTGACCATGTGGCCCTGGCTGCAAAGCCACGTTAGGGGAGAAGATGCACACTGGCCCAAGGCAGCTACTGAATTTTGTAATAATGGCAAGAGCTTGAATCATGGTTTCCTGGATCCCACTCAAACTACTATCTTTGTTGGCTGTCCCTCCAATAAAGCTTCTGCAGATTGATATATCTGAACTCTGGAGACAGAAATAGTTTGGTGAGAAGGAGGCTGGATCCCTACACATTGTGCTCAGCTATCCCTTCTTTTAGCTATGTTTTTTGGAATAAGTCATGGCTGAGGAAAAAACCATCATTGCTGAGGAAAAAACCTTTGGTTTATGAACCACAACATCTGGGTTTGCCCAAGACATTCATTTAAAAAAACAGAT